CTACAGCGCAGGGATCATTCCTGCTATTAGCGACCTGCGAGTTTAGTGCAAAAACGCATGATCGCACCGGCAAGCCTGGTGCACTCCAACCCGAATCTATTTCTAATTTTTTTTTCTGAATCTCAAAAACCTTTAACGCTTGGATCCCCGGAATACGAAAAGAATTAAATTGATCGGATCGGGGAACAGTGATTACTGATACTTGAACGCACATTCTTTTTGCATAGCTGAAGCAATGTAAAAATACACATTACCGAGAAATTATTCGCTTGTGTATGTGCGCTTTTGTATGTGTGTTTGTGTGTGTCGGTCTGTTCATATGCCTACTTCCATGTCCACGCCTGTGCTTGTTCGGTTTTTGTCCCTCACTTTTAACTCAGAAACTGGATAAGAAGTCTAGGATAAAGAAAACCGTTTATGTAGTCAATGTGCATATAGTTCAAAGAATTATAAGATTCAGCTTCGCCTTGCAACTTCTATAAAACAAATATTCTACAGTTGTTAGACCACTGAGAACGTATTTGCAACTCGGTAACTTTGAGATTCTTGACCTTGCACTTGGGTGCTCGTTCCTCCACCTAATTGCATTGAAAAATCAAAATTTTTTACTCCGAAAGTTGACTTCTTTTGAACCCAGGATGAAGGAATAATGAAAGTCTGGTTTATAACAGGACTATTGCGGTTTCTCGTAACTTCACTTTCAACACTTTTCTGTTGTCTTTTGCTCTTTCGCTGTTTTCTTTGAAAAGCCTTGAAATCAATTTGAATATGGACCTGAGATTTTCTGGATACTTAAATCAGATGCTGTAGTTTGACTCTTTAGTTACGTAGCTTGCAACTTTTCCAGTAGCTTTGTCCAGTACTGCGCCACTTGCTACTTAGCCTATCAGCCATCCTCATTTTTTTTTAATCTTCGAACGCCCGAAAAGCTCATAGTTTTCTCTTCAAACTACCGTGATTCTCTGCATGATGAAGTGGTAGGCCAACATTCAAATTGTTGGCCAACATTCAAAATGTTAAACTGAAAGTTCAATAGTTTAGTCTTATCGCTTGTATTGCCATAAAGATATTTTTGGATTTGTTTGACTGCAGCAGTCGAGAATATGCGGATTCTGTAAAGTTCACAGACTGCTTGTTTTGAACATGGTGCCGGATACAGCTATGCTTCTAAACTTCTCCGTTTAGCTGATTATAGTTGGAGGGAGTAGCTCATTCTTGAAACTAAGAGTATGGGCTTGACTCTCGAAGATTTAGGCTTGGCTCTCGAGGTATAGGCTTGACTGTCGCAAGTAATTTGTCTTTAACTGTTGATCTTAAAAATATCATCAACTTCTTCAACTTTTGTTGCTTGTACACTTGTAGTTCACAGATGCCCAGTTTGTAGCATTGCCTTTCCCGACCTATTCTCATTAGGATTCGAAGTCGAAAGGCAGGCTTTAAAAAAACAGTTTAGCCTCGAGCAAAGCTAGAAGGAGGTTTCAGAATTACAACAGTTTTCTGGCTTTAGAGCCAAAAAATGCATTTTGAAAAGAAACTGGCGGCATAGTGGGCCAATTCATTTTATTCAGCAACTCTGAGATTCTCCTATTTTGCATACTTTGTACAGAAGCGAATGGTCAGTGCGTAAATCGATAAAGTAGGTGTTTTGTTATCACTATGCAATCACAACCTCTAAATGTTCTGGATACTGCCACTTTTCGGCGATGATCCATTGCGTCTGATTAGTCACCCAACATCATCCCCATTCCCCATGAACCTCCCTGTCTTCCATACATTGGTCTCCACATACCACCGTTGCCGCTGCCACCACCACCATATGAACCCCACATACCACCACCGCCGTTGCCACCTCCGCCATATCCTCCCTTACCACCGGTGCAGATGCCACCAGCGCCACATGATCCCCACTTACCACCAGCACCGCCACCACCGCCGCCATATTGGCCCCATTTACCACCAGCACCGTTGCCACCACCACCATACGATCCCCACTTACCACCGGCACCGCCGCCACCACCTCCCCACTTACTACCGGTGCAGCTGCCACCACCGCCACACGGTCTCCCCCACTTGCCACCGGCACCTCTGCCACCGCCACCAGATGGTCCCCACTTTCCACCGCCACCGTAACCACCACCCCATTTTCCGCGACCACCAGACGGTTTCCACGTGCCTCCGCCACCACCATAACCACCACCACCACCGCCGTATGATCCTCCCTTTCCGCTGCTCCACGAACGCTTCATTCGTACACTGGAAAAAGTTAAGGAAAATCTGTTATAATCTCATTCGACCTATGCAGTGGGTGAAATTTCTAAGAATGAATTTCAGAGTATTTTTCTATCTGCACAAAACTGCACTTGGTTCTCTCAAATTTGCTAGATCCAGAATCACTTCATTCATAACTAGTTGACTTATTCTATGAGAAATAAGTAAGTAATTACTTGATGACACAAGCGATTCCTCAAAGCAACAAGTAATCATTCATATTCACTCATTTTCATTATTATTCAGCTATTTTCAAAGCAACAGCTCTGTGAATATTGAGTTGGAAGTGAATGCCAAAATCCGAATAAACGGAGACATTTACAAACAGATTTTTGGTTCACATACAAATGCATTTTATTAATTACGCGAGAAAACATAAAAAATTAATTTTAAGAGATCAAAAATGCTATGAATGCTTGCTTTTGGACATCGGACTTACGTCTACATCTCCCTTTTTTAGGAAAATTTTACTTCTCATGTCTGTGCTACTACAAAACTTGAATCCACTGAAAATAATAAGGGCTTAAATACTAAGGTAAACTTACTGTTCATCTTCATAAGCACATACTACCGTTGCTACTGCAAGCAGAATGAAAAGACATGTACGGCACTGCATCACTCAAATATATTGCTGCAGCACTGCTTTGAAATATTAATCTGCAACACAGCAGATATGACTAATGGGCATGGTATATTGGGAATTAGAGCTAATCTTGTGCAGCTTGAGAGTTCAGTTCCACCAGTAAACTCCTTTTATAATTTGATGATTCCTTTAGACTGTAAATTGGTATTGGGCATGTGTTGCAAAGTCAAATCCGCCGTAGGCTTGGTTCTAAGGGACTATCGAAAAAAGGAGCCGTTGACAGCAATATTAGAAGAAGCGTGCAGGGACCAGGAAACAAAGTAGTTGTAGAATCAGAAGCATGTGTATGGTAATCTTCAATAAGTAGTAACCGAAATAGCCAGGTTGTGTGAAATTTTCGATTTCTGAGTTATTTATATATAGGACCTGAATGAACTTAGAGAAAGCGAGTTCAACTGAAAAAAGCGAAATTCAGTTAAAAGAGGTTCAAAAAAAGGGCCAGAGAATTGAACACTGAATGCATTAAGAGACGTTAACTTTTGATAGAGAATTATTGACTGAGAAGCAAATTATTCAAGGGAAAGGCGATATTAATTTTGGGAAAAAACCTCAACGAGGTGCAAAAGTTACATTTTTTCTTCACAGTCAGAGAGGTTAACTTTTGACAGAGAATTATTTCTTTGGAGCAAATTATTTGTGAGAAAGGGAGTGTTAACTTTGGAGGAAGAACTTCAACAAGGTGTACCAATTACTTTTCTTATTTCGAATTCCTTGAGTGTCAGAAATCTTCAAAGTGAAAGGATTTTATCAGAGCTTTAAATTACGTGATTATGCTAGCATGAGCAACAAATTCGAGTGGACTACGAGAACCAGGCTCTAAACTGAGACCTGAAATGTGACCACAGCCATGGCAGGTCTTTTTGTCTTGGGCCGCTTGCTTCCATTTACTAAATACTTAGCACACAGCCAAGTGACTGCCTTTTGTTAAGTGGGCAACAAGCTGACAGAAACTTCTCTTGCTGATTTTTGCAGTATGTATTTTGTTTTTGATTCTGTTTTTGTATATATTCTGTTTTATATTCTGTTCATATTCTGTTTTTGAATCCAAACTGGCCTGTTTTGACCACTTTTCTGGATTGCTTTTCAGAAATTTAGAGGAATTCCTTTCCTTCCTTGCAAATATGCTGTGAACTGGTTCGCCTCCCCAGTCAGTGAATTATTCGACTTGGTATACTATTTTGAGGGATCCTTAGAACTGGCGTAGCAGCTAGAAAGGATTTCATGAATAATGTTTTGTTTTTCGTCTCCTTGATAAACTGTTATTTTTAGATAATCGGAACTATCATTTACCAAGTATGACAAGAGGGTAGTGGAGAAGGAATGTGGAGAGACGAGGAGGGAAGTAGACAAGCATAATTTTTGTGCGTATTTTGCAGCTATGCAATGCAGAAAACGCATGTTGACGAGAAGTTGTCTGTGTGTCCGTGTCTCTGTGTGTCCGTGTGTGCGTCTGTACAGATTTTCCATCTCAACACCTACAAAAGGTACAGGGCTAAAACTTTGGAAACTTAATTTAGAAGCACGTACGGGCCCCAGTCCTCTAAATGGGCGCCCTTACTTGCGTGGTACCCACGTACGAGCCCGCCAAAATTTTCTTCCGGTAAATTCATAACTTGGGGATCTGAAATGCTAGGAAGCTGAAATCTTAAGAGGATGTTCCCCGTCCAAGTGGGTATTAATGAGCTCAAACCCTGCTCGCGGGTAAGCGTGATACCTACGTACGGGCCCGTGAAACTTTCCTTCGGGTGAGTTGCTAACTCGGGAACGTGAGAAGCTAAAAGACAGGAATTTTGAAGGGATGTTTTCTGACAGTCTTGGCGGCCAGTCTGAAATTCTTTTAGCTCGAAGCATCTGTCGGAAAAACCAGTGCCGTTAGCAACAAAAATCTGTGGAGAGCTGTGCAGAAAACGCATCTTCGCACGTGCGTTGGTCGTGCGACGATGCGTTTTTATGCGTTTTTGCCTATATGCAAATTGCAAAAACGCATATTGGGACGACCCTGTCT